TGGGGCCGTAGCCCCAGGCTTCGGCCGGCCCAGCTTCTCCCGGTCGCCGGCCGCGGGGAAGCCCTGAAGCCGCCTCACGCTGTAATCTCGGTGGATCTTTATGACGGCGCGGGGGATATTTGGGGCAAAAGGAGTTGAAGTTTTGGTGCATTGTGTTGCTGTGGGCCCTTCTGTCAAATGCTCGGTTTGGGTTTATGTAATCTGAAAATCGGGGGGATGGGAGGGGGGTGTCAAGCCTCTAAAATATTTTCCACGTAAAGAAAGACTCGTGAGAAAGTTTGGCTCCATGTTATGATAATAAACATCCTGTTGCAATGATTGGTGTTGCTATAAGTAGACTTCCTATCTCTAAATATCTACTGGAGAATGTAACACTTGCCAGGCTCTGAGTGCTGAGTCTTCCTTGGGTTGGCATAACACTAGAATTTCTGTGGAGAAACTTGGGTGAAACTGTTCAAGGAGCAGTCAGATATGATAATGATATAATCATGAGGATGATTACACCTAATTATTGTAGGGTAATTGTAAACCCTAATCTGGCCTTGCTGTTTTTTAGCTATTGCGGGACCCTTGGTTTAGAATTAGATGACTCTGACCTACTGGAGCATATTTTGGTATTTGAGGAACTAGAGAGCAAACAGGCTGGGGGTCAAGATATTATGTGGTGATGCACCTTTATTGCAGGGTTATAAGGCCTAAAGAATATTGTTGTTATTTGTAATTTTATGCTCTACTGGCACTGTATCCTTGCGTGCAATGGGGTGTATGTTTTGGAAACAGGCAGCAGGGGGGCGGCATTAAGAAAGAAGCTCAGAGATTTCCATAGCTGAAAGCAGTAAAAAAAAGGTGTCTTTCTGAAGAAATTACAGGACTTGATGCCCCCGAGCCCCAACATACCGCCATCATGTCAGGCACCGTGTCCATTCTCCAACAATTTGCCAATGGCTTGAAGAGTCGCAGTGAAGAGACGAGGGCAAAAGCTGCCAAGGACTTGCAGCATTATGTCACCATGGAGCTCCGCGAAGTGAGTGCTGCAAATGAGATAATTTATCTCCATTTATCATATGAGTCTAGGGCACTGGCTGGGTACTTTGGGGATGGAGGTTTTGGGAATACAGAAGCTGGTCTTAGAGAGGAGATGAGGCGTAGCAGGGAGCTTACCTTTGCCCTAGCATGTAGGAGAGGTGAGCGAGCTGGTGACACAGATGGATAATCGAGCACCAGAATAAATAAACTTGACATGTATAGGGCACAAAGAAAAGATACTGGTTTGTATTTGTAATGTATGGTTGATTTAATTTCTTTAAGTGACCTAAGAAACACTGTCTTTATGGAAGTTGTGGGGGCAGGAAGGAAGGAAAGAATGCTAAAAGCTGATTTGAACTTTTTCCTTTTACAGATGAGTCAGGAAGAATCTACCAGGTTTTATGATCAGCTGAACCATCACATATTTGAGCTGGTCTCTAGCTCTGATGCAAATGAAAGGAAGGGTGGCATTCTGGCTATAGGTGAGTGAAAGTCCTTAATGCCTCTGGTGAGTTCTCTCTTCGTGCATCTGTATTTAGGGACAGAATTTCAAAAGGAATAAGCTTTTATAATCGGGGCCTTATGTCTGACTGCTGAGGATGCTGGGTGCGTGCTAGTTGCTGGGCTCTGAAAATTGGTCTGTAAGTGTCAGCATGGGAGCTGCTGAGCGCTCAGGGTGGCTGAAAACCTGGTACTTAATAGACCGTGAGCTGTTCTGGGAGTTGAGCATCAAATGTGAGTGCTGAGCATGTGAAAATTCTTTTCTTGAGCTCACCTGAGAGCGGTTTGTGCTGTCCATTTATATGTATCAGGGTGGGCTGACTTTCTCAACTCACTTCTGTCTGAGGAGATTGGTTCTTGTTATTTAAATTTACCTGGCTAGATAACAGCAGCTTCCATCCCTGGCAGGGGCTCGCATAGCTTCTGCTTGGATTCTGATCAGCTGCTCTATCAGTTGCTCTGCTTGTGCTTTTGCTGTGACACGGCAGAGCTGCCTGCATCTTAACTCATAGGGAAATCAGCTTGCGTAAATACTTTGCCTTCCAAGTGTGTAGCCTCTATTGTAGCAGTTACTTCTTTAATAGTGAAAAAGGAGGTGCTTATGGTTTAGGCTCGCAGACATAATCATCCAATCCCAACATGTTTGAAGACAGCGGAAGTCCCTTAGCTAGAGAAATCTTTGTTGACGACATCTGATTTTAAGCTGACAGTATCACTTTAAAATTGTTTCTGTGAATTTAGTGCTGTTGAAAGGTGCCGGCTTGACAACCCTGGACACTGATGGCCTCTTTATCTACAGAGCAGGTACAACCCAGGCACCAGCAGTGAAAGCGTCTGCCACACTGCCGCCTGCCCCGGTGCCTCCATCCTGGCCGGGAGAGACCAACCATCTCTAGGGCTGAGGGGGAGAGCAATTTCCTTGGTCCATTCAGTCTTTGACTTCTCTACTGAGGCGCACCAGCCGTAGTAGTTGCATGTGGATGGATGCCTTTCTGTTGGGAATGGGTCTGTGATCCCAGGGTGGATTTTTTTCTCTCCTTTTAAACTAAAAATGGGGAAAATCTATGAAGCTACTGGATATGTTTTCCTGCCCACTTAACAAGCTTAGGCTCAAACGAATGGTGGCCCTTTCCTATTGCTTGATTATTATTTTTTTCTGTGGATTTGCAGTTTAGGAGGAGTTAATGGGAATCTTTAAGGAATGGATAGGGAATACTAACTCTCATCCAGGGATTACCTCTTGTCTGCGTCACTGATAACCTACAACATTACTCCTTTTCTCTACAGCAAGCCTTATTGGTGTTGAAGGAGGTAATGCCACCCGTATCGGCAGGTTTGCCAACTACCTGAGGAACCTCTTGCCATCCAATGACCCTGTTGTAATGGAGATGGCCTCCAAGGCTATTGGGCGGCTTGCGATGGCTGGTGACACCTTCACAGCTGAGTATGTGGAGTTCGAGGTGAAAAGAGCTCTGGAGTGGCTGGGAGCTGACAGGAATGAAGGTCGAAGACACGCTGCAGTAAGTGATCTTTTTTTGCCTCCATCTATCTCGGAACGGGACGGTTAGGATTAGTTGACAGTGGTAAGAGATGTGCACAGAAAGCTGCAGAAAAGCTCTGGTCAGGATCAGAATGGCTGCCAGTCCATGTCTGAGAATCTGTGGTGTTCTCACGGCAGATATGGTGCTGCTTCATTGCTTCTACCTTAACCCAGTGACTAAAGATTGAGATACCATTGTGCTAGGAACTGTGAAGAGTACGGAGCTGGAAACAGCTCAGGCTCACAGCCATTGACAGCGTAAATAAATGCTACTACGGTCTAGAAATCGTGAGGTTTGTGTATGGGTGCTCATCCTCACAGATTGTTACTGGTTTTCTCCCCACCTCT